CAAACAAAAGCTGAATTACGCCAGAAATATTAGAACACGATTGGCAGAAGCCCGGATGACCAATGAGTTTGTTTTGTATATATTATTTTATCTTCCTTATTTCTTTCAATAAAGGAACGTCTCGGTTACGTGGTATAGTGTGTGCAAGTGCCAGTGTGATCCAGTGCTAACTTTGCGTCCGTGATTGTCAATCCATAATTCCTAACTCGTGATTCGTAATTCGTGATCAGTGTATACTACAATTACTACAACTACGTATCAGTACTGATGTACTACTTTCCGCTTGCCCACATAACACTCACGTGGTTTCGTCAGCAAGGACCGTTTTCGTGAATGACACCTCCGAACTGAACTATAACCACATATAAAAAATATATAATCGAAAATATCTGTGCGGGTGTTACATCGGTATTCGAAATCCTTGAGGACTGGCTTACTCATCGAGCAGCAGACGCTCTTGCTGATTGGATTGAATTGGAACTGACACGTTTAACTTACACTGCTCCAGGTAGCATCAGCACAATAAGCTGAATCAGAGTAGTACATAAGAGATACGGAGGGGTGACAAATTTGGATTAATTTTAATGTTTTTGCATCGGTACCTTTTTTGTGCGAGGAATTGTCTTCAACCGAGGCTAATAGAATGCTCGTTGGTTGTTATTGAGTGTTTTGCATTAGGCTGTCAGTCACGTGACGTGTGTAAGCAAGTGTATGTTTAATCTCGAAAAGCAAATAGCACACAATAAGATCTCGTCAAGTGATTGTGTCGAACGAACGAACGATGTGTGTGTGTGTGTGTGTGTGTGTGTGTGTGTGAAAGAAGCGTGACTAGGTCAACGAATCACTTGCTTGGTTCGTGTAGGTCATAAACAGTGTAGAAACATCTACAAATTTGTGTTGAACCCTTGGGAAAGAACAATATTTCATCCTGCGCAATTTAAACGACTGATGATGTTCAGGTTGGGGTGACGGAGGTCAACTGGCTGCTGCCAGCGTCATCCACATACCTTGCACGTTAAGAGTCACTCCAATTTGCAGTAGGCAACTTCGTTGTCGTCTATCTTGGTGAGACCTTAAATAGCTTGATACTTTAAGTCCCCGGGGTACGGGGTACGGGGTGTGTGGGGTGGGGATTAGATTGTTGAAAACGTACCAGATAACTGTTTCATTCCTGTTGATTCGGAATTGTCAGCAGCACATACTACTTTTGTTCCAATACTTGAACCGCGAGCTTTCGTGCCGGGAGAAGAACTTCTTCCTTTGTAGCTTGGCGATCGACGGCTCATTTAGAGTCTTGACGGCCCATCATTATAACCCACATTATAGCTTCCAGATAGTAACCGAGTATCCCCCATCGATTGATTCTCAATTGAAAAGCGGTATAGTCACATATAGTTCAGATCATGTTCAACAGAAAACAGTGAGAACCCGCATGTTGGCTATTGATCAAACAGTTGGTTTACAACTATCAGTGCGAGCACTTTGCCATGACAATCTATTTTTCTGGCCATGGAATCGAATTGTGAAATTTGTTCCCTATCACGAAGTAGTGCCTCACAATTGTTAGCCAAACAACAGCCAATATCATTATCCGGACTAGGTCACCAATCTGTTTGACTTGCTAATGATATTGCACTTTCCACGATCAAGTTGTGTATAGGTTGTTCATTGCGCAGAGTGTGTGGAGGTGGTGTTTTGTGGGTACAACGCTCCATTTGGACAAAGTGAAATTCCCTGTCTGTATTCCTTTCTTTATATTCTGCCTCCATGCTTTGTTTAACTCCAAGTGGTATTGGTTGGTGTTGTTGTTGTTGGTGGTGGTGGTGGTGGTGGTGGTGGTGTGTTCTCCCAGCTGAAAGTGTTGTTCTCAGACGTTTCGTAACCAGGCTAGGCAACACCATCAATGCAACTGAGGATTTAGTAGTGCAATTTATCATCTTTCGGTTTTTGTAATCAATCAACGGACAACAGTTCTTCATTTCTGTGTGGTATCCATTCGCCTGAATCAGCCTGAATTACAATTACCGTAGGCTCTGAGGATCTTAATACACCCTCTAACGTTCGAATTAAAACATTCTTTCGCACAGGTATATACTGTTCGTCTTTACTCTTGTTTACACTAAACACAGTAGGAGCGTCGTGGTACAACATCAAAAGATGGAGGTTAGGAACCACCTGTTCAATGATCGTTTGAAATTCCCCGGACAAAATGCGACACCGATAGGAATTGTGCACGATCTATCCGTTCGGAGTGTTTGTCAGTAGGCATGAATTACTTGTGTTCTAATTCCAGAACGCGATGCCCGGTCGTGGAAAGTTGATTGTTACGAATAACGAACGGTCTTGGTATCGGTCGATTGGCATTCATACAACAAAATATCTCATTAGTTCATGGAGCGGTCTGCTATTACGTGCGCATTCTTGTATTCACCATACAGAACAGAAGCAATTCGCTCCAAACAAGTCTTGTTCATTTTTGACCGTTGAAAGAAATCGTCAATCGTGACATTTTGCAAACTACTCAAAAACGTGAGTAGTATTTCCCAACACTTGCTCTCTGCATCGAAGTTGATCTTATGGGATCCGATACTACCGTGAACCGGTTTCGTGAAAACCATGTGGCTGTAATATTGTACTTGCACACTTTCTCACGCATAAGTTTATTCTTAACCTGCTTACTGCTTCAAGTTTATGGCGTTTTCATCGCGACCACGATTGACGCCGCCCTCGAGTCAAGTTCTAATTGCCCCTCGTGGGCTGTGATGGTACACTGTACTGATCGGAATACGAGCGGAGCGTAAATCGAAACCACAATCATTATGGAAACAATGGAATCGCACAGATGTTGAAATAAAAGGCCAGAGAAGTAACGGTTAGTTTATTGTAGAAAATCAATGGAAGGTACAGAGAAATGCCATTAGTCAACAGGCATCAATGAACCGCCCTTTTATGTTCTTCTGCATTCACAGGACTACTGTTTGAACTGCATGACTTTTTTGTTTGATTCAAACTATCGACATCCGCTTGGTTGTACTGAAACTGCGTCGCGTATCCAAATGACTGGCTTTATCTCGAGGAGCTCAATCACCATATATATATATCGTCCAGTCATTCACATACTACTTATTATCAAATATATATATATATATGTCCTCTCACGAATAATAGGTACACAAACACAGTGTTCGTATGGCTGAGGGGTAGCAATAAGGACAAAAAAAGTGTTAACTTGTTGTAATGATTTTAGTAATGATAGTATTAGCAGTACGCACTGAGCTCGGAATACGACCTACGCCATACGGATCACGGAACATAAATCAAGGCTTAGCAATCATGGACTGGATCACGTACGCAATGGATCGCACTGCCAGTAGCACGTCATATCCTACGTAACTGCGACGCGAGGAAAAGGCCACAGGAGTAGTAGATCGTTTATTGAAAGAAATAAAGAGGATAGAACAATATGTTCAAAACAAACTCGTTGGTCATCCGGGCCTCTGCCAATCGCATTCTAGTATTTATACCGTTGCCCTGCATCCGTCTGGACCGTACGGTTTCTGATTGGCTGGTGCGATCGACCAATGGTATGTAATCCAGGAGCTGTGGCACGCACGCGCTTTGCTGACATCACCCGTGAAGCTTGATTAATCACAGTTGTCCTGAAACTGCAACGTGTCGCTCCAGGTTATGCGTCATATCGCAGGCTTGGATCACCACAACAGTACAATGTCAGTCAGCATAGTCTCCTCTGTTATACTTCACTGATCCCGATTTGGCGCCTACCATTGGTGGACAAAAGACGCCTTGACTGGTGCTATCTCCGGATGGAGAGCAGAAAGAACTCTTAGTTGATAGTTATTTCAAACCACTATAACATGAACGGAATATCTGTGATGTACGAGGCTTTAAATATGCCATTTTTTCTTGTATTTTCCAATAACGACGGTGACATTGAGCGTTTTCATTGACAGTAATAACCGGTGGTCCACATTTATGTCAAATGGTCTGGGTAAACTGGGACACCTCTTCCTTCAGTTACGGGAACTCAGTGCTATCTCGCAGCCATACAGTCAAGTTGTGAGAGCGCTCACGGTACAGAACTGACCGCTTAGACCATGAAGTTACAGTTTTTTATTCACGAAATGGTATGACACGTGACTAGAGATGCGATCAAAGTAAACACCACAGGGCGTTGAATGCACAAACACAAACAACTAATTTTGAGAATTCGAACTGATTTCAACTACTGGGACAACCGAAATAGATAGTCTAAACAAGATGTTGAGATCAGTTCTGATTTACTCTAACTAATTAATGAAAAATATTCTTACTTCTCAGCCTTTCTGCTTGCCTATTTAGTGACTGGTCACTTTACACCGATAGCCACCCCAATGACAAAAGCGACCGAAAACTTGAGTCTCTCATTATTACTTTGTTTATTGCGAATAAATTTAGCTAATAAGACCATTATTATTATTATTATTATTATTATTATTATTATTATTATTATTATTACACGGAAGTTTCATTTTTGAAATAACTAAACTCCAAGTAAAGGTCTCTTCTAGATGCTGCATTGTACTTACAGTAAACGCTTGTTAAGTAGCAACAAATTGAAAGATATAATATCACTGTAGATCACTTAGAAGTGGTCAGTCAAAGCCAGTCAGATCACTCTGTGAATTTTGCACTCAGGAAATCAATCAATCAGGAAAATCTGTGAACAGCTTTTCAGTCATCGTTTGTTATTCTTTTAAATCCCCCAAACGAGTTGTGTCATTGGTTCGGTTAAAAACCGATGTACGCAACAGTTTTAGGTATGCAAATACTACAACCGCAATGACGGCATAGATTGCAAATGAAATTTTCAGCAAGAATATCTCAATGCTTGCTAGTCGATAGCCTCTCATGCAGGTTTTTTTTGTTTGTTTCAAATGAAATCAACTCAAATATCAAACATGATGTAACTGTGATTTCAATCGAATTTCTCCTATTCACAGTGCGCCACTAGTCCATGTCATCGACGCGAGGAAGATAATAATGTGGCTGTTGAAGAATTCAAGCGTGAATTATGGGCTCGAAAAGAATTCCTCTGCTATGCACGACCATCCAAACAATCCACTCCAATTGCATTACCTCCGGACATCTTGGACTACTCAGCCGAATCGTACGCGTCGCTGACCGAAACACAGAGTTCTTCACTGTCCGACCCGGTCGAACAAGTGGACAACAATGACGAGGTCAGTGAGGAAGCGGAAGATGCGGATTTACTGGATGACGGTTTGACCGATGAGACAACGACAACATTTGCCGCAACAACAAAAACAACAACAGCATCAGTCGGAATCCAATCAAACAAGCAAATTCAAAGTCGGTCCAGGGACAAGAAACTTCTCCTGGCCTCGTTGTTCAGTCCTCTGTCACGTGATCCACAAGATGCGGCCGCCATACTTCATCGACTCTATTCAAGTGCCATGTTTTGGCACAGTCTTTGTTGGCCTGGTGGAATATTTTTCGGCTCCCTATTATTACTTCTTTTCACCTATCTTGCCGACGGTTGTGAGGCTTGGGCCAGTGACAAAACAGTGATCGCCTAACATTCTGCTGGCATGTCCATTTCCTTTGGTTCGTTTATCTCATTCACATCACTCGATACGTGTACTCAACTCCCGACTTGCTCGAATCACAAAACGTAGCTCTGCGGTAACCCTAAAGCCGTAAAGCTCGGCCATCGTGGACGTTGTTTTGTCACCGTGTTAATACAGTGCACAACACAGATGCCTATGTGTGTGTGTGTGTGTTTGAAAATTGAGACATATACATATATATATACATATATAAACATCTACTTAAATTTGCTCCTGTATACATCTATGCCGGTAACTATCCTGTATCCCTCATATACCCCACCTCCACCCACACAAACACCTCATATCAACCTAACCCGACGTGTTTGAAAAATATATAACTCTTGATTTGATTTTTCACGGCAAAAACATCCTCATCATGAAAACAGAGTAAAGTGGAAAAGAAACTGCTTGGGTCAAAAGTTTAAAGTGCTTGGCATTTGATACATACGAATTCATATGAACAATGCGTGTTGATTGAATGTATTGAGGTAAGTGTTTTCCTTATTGTGTATCTGTTGTAATCGAAATAGTATTGAACTAAGGAATACGAGAACCCCTAATGTACTGTTCAGAACTGGATTGGCTTCAACCCGAACTGTGGAATCCAATGAAATACACGAAGAATTGACAGCAGCAAACGTTTATGTTTACTGATAGAATTAGAGCATGTTTTATAGAATGTAATAGACCATATGATTGGTTGAACGACCGTCGTCCAATCACGTAACCGTTTGCACCGACGCATCATATTTACTAACTGGAATGTCATGTCCGCCCTGTGTACCATTGACCGAGCTTCTTAAACGGTGATTGAATGACATGAAATTGTACCTGATCGTGCTTGGATTGCGGTCACGTAAGTCTGGATCACCGCAGTATTGTATTGGGTTGTCTATAACTTTTGCAAACACCGGAGCCTACAGTTCATATGAAAAAAAATTATAACAACCGTCACAAGGTACATAGTCAACGCAGAGAAAATGTTTTACAAACATGGGGACATTTCATAATCCAAATTTAAGACAAAGTTCACTTATTAACCTCTGTTTATCTGTAAACGTGCAAGATACGGTATAGGTGAATTACGGTAAGCGTTAATTCGAGACGACATTTGACGGAATTGGAAGCGTGTTGAATGATGAGACCGACAATGTGGGTGGTCACGATCTGTGCGAATCCTCTCCACAAATTACACACAGAAAGTTACATGATACTCTGAAAGCGTTACAGGTAACTCGTTCACAGGAATAGAAAAGACATGACTAATGATGGTTAGACTGCGACGTAACTCTGAAATCCTGTTTGAGTAAGCCAGGAAAATGGCTGAGAAGGGGTAGAGTAAGATGGGAAAACACATTGCTGAGCAAGGGAAGAAATAACTAACTGGGATGCGCGAAACTGCCTGAGCTTTTGTATTTGAATTGATAGGCGCCGCTGTTTACCAATGCAGTTGTGGCTGTGGGTTGACCAATGAAGATTGCTATCTATTCCTAAATCAAAATATTTGACAGAGTTCGCCTTGGATAAAGGATTTTTATTAATAACTTTGTGGAGTCTGTCGGATATGGGGAGTGAGCAAAACTATATAAACACTCAATACGTTTCCTGGGGATTAGGATAAGCCCCGATGAGGAGGAAAATGACTGATTTTGATCAAGATTATCGGTGAGAGAAGTTAGATCAGAGTGAGAGGAAATGGTCGTCATCTGCCTATTTAAAACACAGAGAATATAAAACCTATGAGTGAAAAATAAGTAGGGGGATAGGCCAGCTCATAGAAAACTCCCGGTATTGTTAACTAAGTGTGCTACTACTACTACTACTACTACTACTACTACTACTACTCAGGATTAAGGGTTTGAAGTCCCAACCCGAACTTTCGCGATTCAAGTGCCGATGGGGACACAAAAGTACGCACTGCTGACGAGTTTCAGATAGGAAGAAACAGCTGTCCAGTGCTTTTAGTCAGTCATACCAAAACATTCATCCTTGCGCTTGAATGCATAAACCTCGTGGGGAATTATCGATCTATCCAGGAGTGAGACCCATTCCCAAGACCATTAAGAGTGCTTGGTGTGTCTTAACAATCGAACGGATTTGCTACTTTAAAATATATAAAATGCTTACTGAACGCACATTACGGGAATCTGGCAGTTTGGTATAAGGTGTCCGAGAGTGACCACGATCGAATACTGATCAACGGACAGTGCTTGAATTTGTGGAACGAATAAGAACAGATGAAGAAAAAGAAAAATTAAATAAAGTTTCTGGAATGTGAAGAAAAGAGGATCGCTTTGCGGATTGCTGATACGAAAGATAAGATTCCATGAAAGGCGATTTAATTAGCAAAGGAACGGTTGAGTTTGTGTAATGATCCGGGCCTACGAAATAATGCATACTCTGGAACGACGCGTTACAGGTTTTGGAGATCTGTGATCAATTAAACTTCACGGGTGACGTCAGTGAACCGCGTACCTGTCATTGAGTCTCGAATACATGCCATGGGTAGATTGTATCAACCAATCAGAAACCGTGAGACCCACACAGAAGCAAAACGATTCACTCAATACTGGAACGCGATTGGCAGAAGCCCGGATGACCAATGAACTTGTTTTGTACACATTATTTCATCCCCCTCACTTATTTTAATAAATGAACTGCTTCTCCTGAGGCCTTTTCCTCGCGTCTTGGTCACGTGAGATATTGGGTGCAAGTACCCGTGTGGTCCAGTGCTTACGTGACGTCCGTGATTCATATGGCGTGGTTCGTATTCCGAATTCAGTGCTTACTTCTACTATTACTACAATCACTATGGTTTGGCGATATGGATAGAAAGTCGTCAATTGAAATAAGGAAGAGAGCTGGTGTCAGGAGAAGCCTAACCTTCTCCTTTGCTCGACGGTACTAGTTACGTTGGCGTCAGACTAAAACTGCAGAGTACGGTGACCTGAATTCTGGCGATTCCTCCATCGCCGCCCACGTAACCCCCATTCCGGACAGATTTCTAGACAGTGAAAAAACCCATAAATACCTATGGTGATTCAGGCCTACGAGATGACGCCTACCCTGAAGCGGCGCGTTACAGTTTTCGGACACATGCGATCAATCAAATTTGAAAGGTGACGTCAGTGACATGCCTACGGCTTCCGACTACACGCCAATCCGAGACAATGCAGACAGAAAAAGAATTATGCAAGCAGTATTTCAATCCGATTGGTGGAAACCTAGATAACCAATAATCTTCTTTTGTACATATTGTTTGATCACCTTCATTTCTTCCAGTAAACTAACTGCGTACTACCATTCCTGTGACCTTTTCCTCGCGTCTCATTCGCCTGAGATAGTGCTAGCTCATGCCATTGTGGTCCAGTGCTTCCGTAATCTGGTCCGTGACAGCTAATCCTTGATTCGGGTCCTGTGATTCTTATTGTGAGGTTTGCATCCCGAATTCCGTGCGTACTACTACGATCATTACAATACTACTCATTTTTTCGTTAATCGACCACGTTTTGGCTGGCGATAGCAATAAGGACTTGCACCGTTTTTCCGACTGTTTTTTTTACTGCAATCGTTGGGATACGCATCGTAAGACCAGGTTCATTGATAGTTTGACAGGACACAACAAAATGGCAACGGAAAAATCGGGAATTTCAATGAATTTTTCGGCAGAACAATTCTAACGCCTGCTAATGTAGCAACAGAAAAAGATGTAAGCTCAACTGAAACTGATTGAATCATTGACGCAGCGGCTCAACTTGCAGACAACAGAGTCAGTTTCGCGTGAATTCCAATCCAGCTCTGTTGAAATGCATGCCAACTCAATCGTTAAAATCAACTATGATCCTGATGCCGGTCACACTTTCGAGGTGTGGTTCAAACGCTGTGAAGACGTGTTCCGAACAGATTTCAGTTGTCAACACGAAGCATGGAAGGTGTCAGCTGCTCCGAAAACTTGCACCCAATGAATCCTCCAGATTTTTGGACCACATTCCTCCCAAACAAACAAAGGATTTGAAATTTGACGAAAGCCGTGTGTGGTGGTCAGAAATCTTCGGTGGGTCGGCATCATCGTTCAGAATCCGATGCGAGTGTCTGAAAATGGGTAAACGGGATGGAGAGGATTATGGTATGCTTGCTGATAGTGTCGTTCATTGACCGATGACAAATTCAAGTGCCTCATCTTCATCCGAGCACTGCAGAATCCAGAGGATGCTGATATTCGTACCCGTACGATTCATTGAAGAGGTTGCTGCTCGATCACCTGCTGCCCATTGAATTTCAGACAGGTGAACGGTCGAAATTCAATTCTTTGTTTTATGTTGAGAATGTCACTTGCCGCGATTTCATCCTTCGATTGAACAAGCAGGCATGACGTTGCAATTGCGGTGATCGGTTGGAGGAAAACTTGTCCGACTACTTGGTGGCAGACATAAAACAACATGACACTTCAACGGAAATTGCTACAAAAGAAGCATTTAACGTTCGCAGAGGCAAGGAAGATCTGTGATCAACATGATGATCTGACAAAAGCGACTTCCAATGAAGTAGTCACCTCATTGCAACGGCACAAATGGAGACTAACAACCGAAAAGAACACGAGCCTTGTGCTTTCCCTACGAACCGAAACTCAGTGTATTCAATTTCTATACGAAGATGTGATACTGCATTCTGGTGTGAGGCACAAATTAATTGTGGATACAAGAAGTACGGAGTCTATGATTTCCACTAAAGTGTTTCGATCGATCTGTCCCCAAGCCAAAATCCGTCCAATGTATGTGCAAATCCTTGCTATTACGGGACACAAACTGCCGTTGATGGGTGAGGTTCCATTGATGGTGCACTTCACGAAAACCGCTTTATTCTCGTACGTTTTCTGGACGCCAAAAGCAGTCCATCTTTGCTTGGTTCAGCCGCCATTCGTGAGTTGAACCAATTCGTGTCACTGCATACCAGCATCACGTCCAATGTGTACACATATCTGCATCGCTTAATCGTCAACTGCTCCAACAATATACGAGGCATGAGCATGAGCGGCCGGCCAAATTGGAATTTGACCGTGAGTCGATCTTTATGAAACGGCGTGTGATCTTGTATGGCCAAAGTGAAGGCCATCGAGAAAATGGAGCGTGACGGTATCATCACTCGTGTCACATCAAGCGCGTGGGATAAACCAATCGAAAGTGACGGTAAGACACACCGAATTCGTTGTGACTATCAGTTGACCCCAAACCCGTGTTTGCGAAAGTGTGTTGCCACCACCCTAGAACCAGAAGATTTTATGAAAGCATTGCATGGCAGCACATTGTGGTGATCCAGGCTTACGAGATGACGCATACCACGGAGCGGCGCGTTGCAGTCTTTGGACAACTGCGATCAATGAAATTTCAAAGCTGACGTCCATGGCGCGCGTAGGTGTTACTGCTCCCGACTACACACCAAAGGTAGATCGTGCCAGCCAATCCGAGACAGTGCAGTCCAGACAAAAGCAGAATGATGCAAGCAATATTGGAATGCGATTGGTGGAAGCCTGGAAAACCAATGATCTTCTTTTACACATTATCTAATCGCCCTTATTTCTTTCAATAAACGAAATACCATTCCTGTCGTCTTTTCCACGCGTCTCGGGTACGTGGGACATTGCGTGCTAGTGCCATTGCGGTCCACTGCTTGCGTGATTCAGTTGGTGATAGTTGATACTTTATTTGTATTCCGGGATTCATATTGCGTGGTTTGTATTCCGAGTCCAGTGCGCATCACTACTACTGCTGCTACCACTAAGATCATTACATACATGCTTCTAAAAGATCGACTTGGGGATGCATACCTCCAAATTCCTCTCGTTCCAGCCTGCAGGCAATTCACTACGATCAACAAGCCGCGGGGATTGTACCAATTCAACTTTCTACCGTTTGGTCTCCACACATCTTCAGGCATATTCCAGGCCTCTAATTGCCCCAGTATGGTCGGCAGTGGGTGTCTTGGGCTCCTAAATGGTCGTTCATCCCGAACTCCTCTAGAAATGCTCCCAACGACCAAGCGTCTCAAATAGCTGCTGCTTAGGAAGTCCTACCCACTGTCTTCTTGTGGCGGTGTTAACACTAAAGTGGGAGGGCAAAGGCGAATGCCCGGCGCTTTCCACCGGGTTGACTGACCACTGGTAGTCAGTCTAGGGGAGTTGGCTAAACCCTGATTCCAAACCACCCACACCTGGCGTAAGAAGCTCATAGTGGCACCAATCTTCGGCGCAACCGAACCGGTCTCCAAAGTTAATCTTTGGAGTTGGCCATCGTGATGCTCACCGGCAAGTGAGCGGCTCAAGTGCAATCTGGGTACCCTGGATAGTTGGCCGCATCCGAAAGGCGTATGAACTGGCCCCTCAGTCACCGGCCACCAGAGGATCGTGGACTCCCTACTCCACCCACTGCCTTGTGGGTCAGGTTCTTCAACCAAAGGCTCCGAATAGGGTCTCTCAAGAAAACCCTCTACCTGGACAACCGGGTAGTACCACGCCCACAAATTAACCGTGGGTTTATGGACATACACATACACGCATTTCACAGATTATTACACTTCTGCAAAGCTTTCTCTAAAAATTTGCACGCAACACTTCTACCCGCCCCCCCCCATTCTTAACACAGTTTGTACCACCCCGAACGGTTCCACTGACGTAGATTCATGTTGTAGCTCGCCGCTATTCTCCGTGACATGTCTCGACGCCGTCCGTTTCATTCCTCCGACCTCACTCTGCGTTCAAACTGGCTTCATTCAATGTAAGAACTCTAATGCATATAGGACAACAAGCAGGTTTGGCTCGTACGCTCGAAAGTCTAGAGATTAATGTGTGTTGCCTCTCGGAAACACTCATCCAGGATCCGAGCTCAGTGATCCGATTGACGTCTCCTTCCAACCCAAAAG